CAGATGTTTGCCCCCCCCCATCGTCGTCAGATGTCTTCCCTTCAAGTTTAGGCTGTTGAAGTGGCACACTGTAAAAAAAAAAAAAAAAAACAGGACCTCGATTTTGGCATATTGTTGAAATGAAGAGTCGTTTTTGTTTTTGTTTTGATGTCGACACACTGTCCCCTTTGAATTCTTTTGCCTTGAAATGTTGTTTGTGAAGCACATTGAGGTCGCTTGTGTCGGAAATGCGCGTGCCGGCGGCGTGCTGGGCGCAGGCCTTTTGATCTTGGAACAGCCCAAATGAAAAAAAAAAAAAAAAAAAAGGGCATTCCAAGTTGCGGGGGTTTGACTTGAGTGCGCACGGCACCTCGGCAGCTGTCGAAGATGACGTCTTTCCCCGTAGTTGCAGAGAAAAATTGCCTGCCAGGGCCGCACGTTGGAACTGGACGGCAGGCGACGCGTCGTGACCCGCGTGGAGTGATATTTGGACGGCCTCCTTCGGCGTCCTGTGCGATTGGCCCCCGCGCGTCGCTGTCGCGCTCTCTGGCCCAACCGCCGGCACCTGAACTTTTGCCAGTTGTGAAAAGCCGCAAATGGCGTCGGCTCATTCCATTCCTGTGCGGCCACAAAAAGGTGCTTCCATATGTCGATGTCCTGCCTCGTAATTTGCCCCCCCCCACCAAAAAAAAAGATGGTTTGACAAGGAACTTCAAAGACTATTGGCGGAGCATTGAAGATTAGCTCCAAATTTAGCTCCGGCACAGGCCATTATTTCCATTACGCGGTGAAATAACAGGGCCGGCCGGCCGGGTTTTTATAGGTGCGGCCCTGCGACTTCTGGCTCACGGCAGCCCTGCGGCTGGAGCGGGGAGCTTGCGCGCTGAGGAATCGCGCGGGAAGCGCGGCTCCGGGCGAGGCTATTTCGGCCTCCGATGAGGTCCTGCTTTATGGGGGCTGCAAACAAACGTAAGACGTGGAAAGCTACGTCAAATCCCTCGGGGGAGTCATTGAGCGCAAAATTAGGCGGTCAGCGCTGTCCGACCCGTCCGACCCCCCCGTGTGACTTGCGCTCTCACGAGCCTCCCGCCCCAGGGCGCAGCGGATAAAAGACCAAAGCGAGACGAGCAAGGTGAGGCACACCGTCGCCGCCTCCTCCCTCATCCGCTTTGCCGTCTCAACGCTTCCGGCCTCGTTCGGGTTGACTCGTTTGCGTGTTGTCCGTTTCGTCGCCTGTCATCTGACTTTGCGGCCATCCTCCAGCGCCACAGAATGCGCACGTCGAAACTTGTTGCCGGGTTAGAGGAGTCCATCTGTCCGGCATACGGCTTTCCGTTTTGGGCGCCACCGGACCAAATCTCCAGGGCGAGTTTGTCTTTCTCAGGAACCCCCGGCGACGGGCCAAAATGATGAAGCGCTTTTGGGGTCGACTCTCGATGGTCATGTCGACCAAATCTCATGTTTCAAATCGAAAGTAACTTTGGGGCCGCGAGATTTTCCAAGCGCAGTTCTCGATGAATGAAAACGGCGCTTCCAACCAGAGTTGCTGCGTCTTTTGGGGCGGGGCTTCTTCAGACTTTTTTTTTTTTTTTTGGAGCTCCACGCATGAGAGCCACGACGGCCAAATTTCACGTGACGAACCGAAAACTGACTTTGGCGCTGGATTTTTCAATCGATCTCTCGAGGCTTCCAATGAAGCTCCAAACAAACTGGCAGATTTCATGTACATTTTTCTTTTTTTTGCCTCCCAAACTCAACAAAGTGAAGCGTTGGGTCATCCACAAAATTAGCATGAAACGAGGCTCAAACGTGGACTCCAAAGCAAAATGGCAGACTTCCTGTGTCGTTTTGGGCATGAGCGTGACGCAAAAAAACGTGACCGCGCTCTGCCAAGCAGCTGCGCGCCCACCCGACTTCCATCTTGGTACCGCCGCAAACCGCCACATCTGGCCTGACCCCGCGCTCTCTCTTCCTGGGCGCCGACGTTAATGAGCGTCACAACTGTAATGGCTGCCAGGATGCGGCGGTGGGAAGCGGTTCACGTGCATTTAATAATCATCCGGGAGGGGAGGGGCGGAGAAAAAAAAAATTCTCTGTTCGTTGTTTTTGCCTGCCGGGTGTAAGTGTTTCCCCATCTGCGTGCAAATCTTTGGGTATCATCATTGTTTTCCAGGAAGTGTTGTGAAAGGAAGCCCCTGTTGGGAAAACTGTCAGGGAAGGCAATTTCCCGACTTCTGAGGGACTGCGGCAAACGTGAACAAAGATGGGACAACTGCCGACGCTGGGACTGAGATTCCCGATTGTGTCGAAAGCGCCTGCCGCTGTCCCGCTTTGCTAAATGCAAAATAATGCTCTTGTGTTAGCGTTGCGAGTTTCCCCAAATGTCGGGGGCGGGTCTCGGTTTAAAGGCGACTGACGGTGTTGACCGTGCGCGTGGGGTGGGAAGTCGAGCTGCTGCTACTTCTTTGGTCCTGTTGTGTCGAAAGCAGTTGTCGCGTGTCCCAAGATGCTCTTCTGTGCAAAAGGCTCAAGGCGGATAAATGCCCAATTTGAATTAGGTTTTTTTTTTTCTTTGAAAGTCCACCGAGGCTGCAAACATATCAAGTTAGAAGGAAGCTCTTAATGCTAGCGCGGAAGCCATCGCCTGTAATTAGCCGCGCGTTTCCTCCCTCTTTGCTAACATGACAAATGGCTACTCGCTGGTTTCTGTGTGACCAGGCGGCGGCAGGCAATTTTTATTTTTCTTTTTATTTTTTTAAATTTGTTTGTTTGTGTTTCTGAGATCATGTGCCCCAAAAGCCAAACAGGTTCTTTTCGCTTCGGTCTTATTTCAAGTGGCGACGTGGAATTCACGAGCCACAAATCCCAGCCGGTGTAATAACAGGGCCATTAACTCAGCTTTGCTCTTTTCCTCTCGCTCGAGAAGAGGCTTCGGCGAAAGCCAGCGTGATGTGGATTATTTTGAGGACCTCTGTTTATTTCTGTCGAGCGAGATGACTTTTATCTTGAGGAGTGGCCACACTGATGGCACCCGTTTGACATTGGGAGCGCCTGCGCACGGCGGGGCTTGAACATGAGTCGACGGGTCGGCGTCACGACGCCGCATCGACAATTAACACTCGCAGATGTCTCGTGGCTAATCACGTGAGTTTTCTGCATCAGTCCACCGCCCCGCACACGCTTGGGCCACCGGTGGACTCGGCCAGGGAGTTTGGCGCAGAGGCGTCCGGAAAGTCCTTCAGCCAAACTTGTGTCGTTTCCAAACGCAGTCCCTTTTGGAAGATGTTTTGAAAGGACGAGAGCTCCTTGGGGAAGCGGTCTACCTACCGCCCGACGTTGTCCCGCTGCACTCGCTCAGCGGCGCGATTGCTTCTCGCTCCTGGCCGCCGATGACTCACCGGCGGGGTTTTGCGCTGCCGCCAAAGCCTCAAATTGCAGTGCTGGTTTCTTTGATGGGGCCACGGCTCGCTTCCGTCATCTTGAAATGTACTCTGAAGGAACGCGCCCCTCCTCAGCTTGACAGACAACGTAAGAATCTTCAAGAACCGAGGGTAGGCGCTTTTGTCAACATCAGATGCAACGAAGAGGCTAAAAACAAAGCTCAACGCTTCTTTCGCTTGGACGCCTTCTGTCTGAAATGGAGAGGCAAAGAAATCCAGGCTGCGTCGTTTGGCTGACTTGTTTTTTTTTTTTTTTATGTTGAACTAGCGACAGCCGCCGCGACTCTGCCTAGCCTGTGTGACAATGTGTGACCTCACGCTCTGAACTGAAATCAACTCGTGTGTGTGTGTTTGTGCGCGTGCACTGAAATCCACTCCGACGTGCACAAAGGCAAGCCAAGGGAGAGCAAGAGAAAGGAAGGGCGCAGCTCTTACCTGTCAAATCATTTTGCTGGAAAGCGGGGAAGGTTCCTCTGGCGAGATTCAAGTTGACTTTTGAATTCATCGGCGTTTGACCGACCAAGTCATGAATTGGAATGAATGAATTATGCTTTCTTTGGTCTCCCGTAGGAGGAACTGGTCTCGGAGGACAAATTTTGTTCCTGCGGGGAGGTCCCGCTCAGTGGATAGCCGCACCTGCGGCGTGAGCGGGGTTCTCCGGTGTTAAAATGCGCAAATCCTCCGAAAAAGCGGCCCGCGAGGACTCGGCCGAGGCCGACGAGCTGCTTTTTTGTTTGTTTGAACTCGCTCTTGTTTTTCCTGGGAAATGAGCGCGGCCCATATGGTTGTCATCCACTTCCTGGAAACCGGAGCCGTGCCTTGATGTTAATGGAAACAATACTCCGCTCGGCTATTATTTTTTCTCCCCCCCCCCCCCTTTTTTTCTTTTTGCTCCAACGCGTTTGGCGAGCGCCGCAAAGACGAGCGCTAATATTCCAACTTGTGTTTTCCGCCGTCACTCCCGATACCTTCAAGCATTTTAATAGCGCCGGATGGTCCTGAAAAATCACAAGGAAGGCAAAGGCGGCGCACGTGTCCTCCGTACTGTACGTGCCAGATGTCGGCAGTAAGGTTGCCGCCCGCCCCGTCAACGAGAGACCCGTCCTGTCTTTATGCGGGAATGAAATGTTGCGACACGGGATGGTCGTTTCCTCATTGCGGCTGTCCCACGCAAACGGGAACGTTGAATCGAACCGCAATGAACCAAATCAAAGCCGGGCCACATGAGAGAGCGCAAGGTGGGAGTCGCCAGCGTTGCCACCGTCCGCTGCCTCGGCCTCCGCTCTGCGCCAAATCCTCCGAAAAGCGCCTTTGCGCTGCCGCCGCCTCTCGTGACGGGTCGCCTGGCCTGCTGCGCACGAAACCCAAAAGTCATTTCTGGCGGTTGTTTTGAAAATAAAAAAAATGTTTGGAAGAAGCTGAGCGGTTTCGAGTTGGAATCAGCCTTCCCACAATCAATCAGGAAGCAATTGATATCATGCGAAAAACAACGGAATACATCTTTGACTTTTGGCCAATTTTAGCAGGGGCGGGCAAGGGCTGCAACAAGCTCGTCTTAATGGCTCCGCTCTCCTTTCGCAGAGTGCTACACGGCCAACGGGGAGGACTACAGGGGCTTCCAGAAGCAGACCAGTTTGCCGGAGGGGAAGGCCTGCCTCTTCTGGAACGAGACCTTCCAGCACCCCTACAACACCCTCAAGTACCCCAACGGCGAGGGCGGCCTGGGGAGCCACAACTACTGCAGGTTGGCCTCAACCACACTTGATCCGAGATCCGGGTCATTTTGATAGGAGACCAATATAGATGCGTACAGCGTGTGTTGCGTTGTTGCCCCAGCCTTTACTTGAAAGCCTAAGACCGGCTTGAAACCCTACTGTGTAACCTTATGCCATATTTTGATACCCAAATCCTGATTTGAAACCCTTTCGTGAAAGCACAACTCTGGCTTGAACGCGCCGGAGTCGCAAGCGGTGCGACGGCCATCTTGGAAATTCACTCTGCTGCGCCGAACGCACTCAGTCTCAGGATTGCGCAAGCGTCAGAGTGAATTCTGGGTCTGCTCTTACGGGCTGTCACGTGGGACGTCCGTTCCCGTGCGGTGACAAGAAACATTCAAGCCTACTATTAGTTGAGTTCGAGTTCAAAACACAACGGCACGTTTCAAAACAATGATTTATCGGCTGTCAGATCAGGTCCCCATGAGGTGCATTTAGTTAGGGCGGTGTTGAAAGCGACGCCGTTGCTGTTTTTCGACACCGCGGGATAGCAAAACAAGGCCAACGAGTTGAAAAGGTGACAACGCGACCGTCAAGTGTGCACGCAAGACTGAAATACAGGCTGGCGAGGAGACGCGGGAGGCTTTCTGCCCGCATAGATCTAATTGTCCTGCTGGTCGTCCCCCAAGTTTTTCTGCCGCTTCAAATGGAAGTTCGGTTGAAAAACGTCCTGGCTTGCCGAGAGCAAAGTGCCGATGACGTCTGCTGTGGGAGGGCAAGAAGGCAACGCTAACAACCCGCATGACAAGTGTGCTGACAAAGACTGTAAGGCGATACGGCCCGCAGCCCCCCCGGCCCCCACCCGTCCTCCCCTGGAGATGCGGCAACGATCTGTGTCGGAAGAAAAGAGAACACAAAAACAAAAAAAAGGTCTTCGGCAATGACGGTCAAAGCAGAGGAAGAAATTAACAAGAGTGGCCGTGTCATGTGAGAAGCTTCTTTTCGTCCGCGGTATTCGACACCTCCACGGTTGACTTTCCTTTTGTTTGGATTTCAAAACGGTCCCCTATCCTAAGAAAACCGGACTCGAAATTCTAATCGAGCCTGTAAACCGGGCAATTCATCAAATCCAAATCAACACCGCAATGGAGTAGAACGCAATTTACAAAAGGTTGCGATTGTCATCCGCTTTATGACGTGCTGATTCATGCTTCGGCCACACACCAATTTTGTGAAGCCATCGTTGCGGACGCTTAAGAGACTGCGAGTGTTTAGTACGTCAACGAGGAATTGAAGCAGATCGAATGCAGCCCGAACTGGAAAGGCTTGAAGCCCTACCCTCAACGCGAACCTATGTGGTAACCCCGAAGCATTGTTTGAAACCTCGCCACAGGCCGAAATTCAAATTTGAAAACCTTGCTCTGCCCTGGACCCCTCATATGAAATTGGAACCCTGTCTTAAAACCTTACTTTGAGTTGCCCATTGCCATACAACAAAAAGGGTCGGAGGGACAGTTGTACACAAGAAATGAACGTTTGCTTTTGTTGCCGTTTTTCCGCAGGAACCCCGATGGCGATGTCCAGCCGTGGTGCTACATCGCAGACCACGAAGACGGAATCTACTGGAGGTACTGCGACATCCCAACGTGCCAGAGTGAGTGGCGCTTTTTACTTTGCCCGGACAGTGACCGAGTGCTCAAGCGGTGTTCCGCATGGCTCAATCTTCGAACCGCTCATTTTCGTCCCGTTTCACGGAAAATGTCCTGGGACAGATTCCTTTGATTGCGTGGCATTGTGATCAAGCGAGAGGCGAGAGAGAGAGTGGGAGACACAGGGCAACTCACCTGCGCAACGAGCAGCTCGTTCAACAATTTAAGAATGGGGCACTGTTAAGAGATTTACGACTGTTGAAGGTGTCATTCATTCATGTATTTATTTATTTGTTTATTGGGGGCGGGGCAAGCCTGTCGCCTAACACTGGGGGGAGAAAGAATCATTTCCATTATTTTTGTCCCCCATTGTCTGGCCCTACCCGAGTTGATTGGCGCATGCTTGGCTGTGCGATTGATAACGCGAGTGGACCTTGTCATTTTTGTTTCTTAGTTTTTTTCCAAACCACATCGCCATGTGAATGACTTTTTTTTTTTTTTATGCCGTGACCTTTTGCACATTCCGCTTGACAGGTCTCAGCATGGAGTCATTTACTTTCTTGTGTGTGTGTGTGTGTGTGTGTGTGTGTGTGTGTGTGTGTGTGTGTGTTTTGTTTTGAAGCTCTTACGTGTGTTTGTTTTCAACGTAGTATGAAATGTCAAGATGCTATTTCTTGTCCTGCGCCTCTGCTAGAATGAGCTCAGCCTTTGTCCGCGTAGCCGTGTTTGGGTTTGGCCTGAAAGTCAACCTCCGCGTGCGCACCCTGCCTTTCTTGAGGCCGTTCCGACAACAACTCCGCACGGGAAGACCGAGGTTAAGTTTAGCTGCGAGGCATCGGGGTGTCATGCAAACAAGTCTGTTCACGAACCGCGGTGGCAGGCCCCGGCAGACGTGAACGGGGGAAACCGCAAGCGCAAGAATATTGCGCCTACGGTGTCCCGCCTCCCGGAAAGCCCTCGGCCTTCACGACACCGCCGTCCTCATCGCTTTTTCGCTGTTGTGTAAACAGCTGCTCGCCTCGTGACTTTTTTGGCCAAGTCAGGTGCCTCGAGAAGGTCGGGGAAGTTTCCCATTGTCTGTCGAATCGCTCGACGGGTGCGCCAAAACGTGTCACTCGGCGTACCTTTCTCCGAGGACGGGCGCGGTCACATGGCGGCTGCGCCCCATTTGAAAGGGCGGGCGTCAAGCAGGAAGCGTTTGGGAGTGCTGCGGACAATCCAAAGCCACGGTTGTCTTTCTTTTCTGTTCTCTCGGTCGCTCGAACCTTGTCGCGTGTCGGAGAGGACGCCGCGCCTTCACCTCGGGTTGATATATATATTTTTTTTAACTCGACAATACTTACTGTGATGTTTTTGTTTTCTTTTTATCTGTGCACAAAAATTAATTAAAAAAAAAGTAACAAACCCCCTCTGAAAACAAATTAAAAGTGACTGTTTAAAAAAAAAAAAGACTCAAAATGAAATGAAATAGACCTCGAATGAAAATTCCCAAAGTGTTCTCAGGAGAGGAGATTCAGGGCGCACCACAGCAAAGGGGAGACTGTGGAATCGATCGTGTGTCCTGGATTGCAACAAGGACCAATCAACCTAATCGGGTTTGCCGCATTGGCCTCGGCACCCCGACGGAGTCGCTACGAGGAGTAGGACCTCGTAGTAGGACTTCGTAGTAGGACCTCGTAGTACCTGCTTTTTTTTTTTTCCCCCACTTGCGTATCGGAAAGCACGAAAGAATCTGTCCCAAGTGCGATTGTGAATGTTGTGTGCTCATCTACGACAATGACTTCCCTCTAGTTGCACTCATTTTTTTTTTTTTTTTTTTGGTCCTGCCTCCACACCTTGAAGCCATAAAGTGAGGTGTTTGGAGTCATATTTTACGAGGCGAACGAAGCATAGTATGCGGCGCGGAGCGATTGCTTTCATTAAGTCTGATTTATAAAGCGGTGAAACGGCGCTTTGGAACGGCTCAACATCTGCGCTAACTCGCCGCGAGTGAGAAATGAATCCAGACGTGAGCGCCCTTGAAGTGAAGGCCGCCATCGGATTCCACGCGCCTGTTTGGATTTTGGGCGTCCAGGTCGCGTTCCGACGACGGGGCGGGCTCTGTTGATGACACCGTTTGGCAGTAGCAAGCTCATGATGACGGAAAAGCCCCAAAGAGAAACGCATCCTGTGAAAAGGATTCAACACACACACACACACACACACACACACACACACACACTCACAAGGCGCACTGCGTTGCTGGAAGCGGGCATGGTCAAAGGTACGCAAGCAAGCAAGCATGTTTTTAAAAAGGCAGAGGGAGTAAAAGTGACTTTGGTTGTACTTTAGCCAAGGTACTCATGCTTGCAACATGTCAGAGTCAAAAATAAATCCCAGCATGTAGCATTGCGGCTGATATTGTTGCGGACAGTACTTTGGGGTTCCGCTAAAATAATGAAGGAGAAAAAAAATGTATTGCTGTTATTTTTTTCCTCAGTATTTAGGACTCATTTTTGACCTTTTTGTTTCTTTTTTTTTTTTTCCTGCGGTAATTGGTTCTTTTCCCTCGAATTCTGGTGCATTTTTCATTGCATTTTTTCACATCCCCCCCCAAAAAAAAAAAAACAATTCCATATCAAAAAGCTATGTGGCACGCTGAGTACATTTCACGACTTTATTTTTGGTGCGGCAGAGTGAAAATGTGACTTTGCACAGTTCCTCAAGCGTTGATGTTATTTCCTCTGGCCGTTTCTTTTTCTTTCTTTCTGGATGTGTTTGCGTGATATTTTCAGAGCGCGGGCTCATGTTTGCAGCTTCACCGAGTCACGACGAGCAGGTGCAATCAAACGCGGCGCTCCTTCGTGACCAGCCCCGACTAAAATTAGCAAGAGCATCGTGTCCAAACTGACAAATAAATGAATCGGGAAAGAAAGCACATGGGCTGTGTGTGTGTGTGTGTGTGAGACGGGGGGAAAGGGGGGGGGGGATTTTCTGAGGAGAATGACAGGAAGGGAAACGCGGCCTTGAAAGAAGAAAACAAGCGCTGGTCCAAATAAACCAGCGGAACATGTTGGACATGTGGTCTGGCGGCGCAAAAGCAGGCGGGAGAACCGCAGCCTGGCCCCGCGTAGTTCCTCCGCCCCCCCCCTCCCCTCCCCTCCCCCGGCCCCCTTCCGACCTCGAGCTGCTTTCAACTTGTGCTATTGCTGCTTTTATATCTCCTTGTTTTTCCGAGGCTGGCCGTTCTCCCGGCCCTTGTGGTCGGGGGCCGCGCTTTGCCCATCCCGATAGTTTGGCCCTGTAATTTGAAGCGGTTAAAAAAAAAAAAAAACACACGCGCACACACACACGAGCGAGAGCACACTGTGAGTCATCTCTGTCGCTAATTTCCGTCCTATTACTCCAGCTGGTGTGAAAATATTCAACAAATTTGAGGGAAACTGGAAAAATCTGACTAGGGAGTCCCACATTTGACAATGATTTCTTTTTTTTTTTTTCCATCTGAAGCTTGCTTGCAAGTGAAATGTCGACTCGCAGTCCAAAAGACAAAAATTGACAATTGAAACTCAAGCGAGCGCTTGTAACTGGAGAAACAAAAGGACGTCGAGGCGCTTGTCGGTCAAGCTTCCATACGGCTCCATCGGTAGCATTTCTGATTTGCCGCAAATGTTTTCGTTTGGACGATTCCCAAATGAAGCCGGGATTGTGGAGGGGTGTGGCTCCAGTGTTGACTTGTTGGGGTTTTTGTTTTTTTTTACTGCTGCCAGTTGTGTGTTGGGGAAGCTGCAAGCATGCCAGCATGTGCATCGATGATTGTATGGCAGTTCCTCATTGGAGGATGACCCTAATGTAAGACCCCAACCCAACATTTGAAAACCTGAACCTTCATTCCTCAATTTCGACCCTAACCCTGCTTTTGAAAGTCCATTCGGGGACGCTGACTCGAGACCCTCGTTTGGAACCCCGCGGTGAAGGCCAAAGCGCCATTTGAAAACGCCAAGCCCGTCTTCGAAAGGCGAGGATTCAAAAGCCCAAGTCGGCCTCAAAAGCCTCCTGGAAACCGGCGGGCCGAGCTCCAAAGAGTCACGAGAACCCCCAATGCAGAACCGTGAAAGGCGACTTGGAAACCCTTTTCCCGATCTTGAAACCCGAGCGGGCTTGAAGCCGCCGCTGGAAGGACTCTGCCGAGTCCCTTTGCCCAAAGACGAGACCCGGGCCGACTTTGTCGCCGCGGTTCCATTCCTGCCGCCGGAATGGCAAATCCCGCAAACCAACGATGACCGATTCCTTCTGGAACCGTCGTTGACGCTTGTCGTCGTCGCTGTGCTTTTTCCAGTGCCGGGGAACCTGGGCTGCTTCCGCGACAGCGGGGACCCCCCCACCCTGTCCGGGCCCACCGAGACCTCCAACAAGCAGACCATCCAGACCTGCATCGGCTTCTGCAGGAAGCAGAGATACAAGGTCAGCGTCGCTCTTTTCCAACATCGACCTGCCACTCGCGCCCCAAACCGAGCCGCGAAACCGCCGATAGGATAAATGAGGAGATCCTTTCACATCGGCCAAAAACATTTTCAAAAATGTTCTGCATGAAAGTGAAATCTTGAATGTCTTGTCTGGAACACATATGCTTGACAACACCGCCCCCCCCCCCCCCCACCCCCGACTGCAAGACTCCGACACTCGAACGCTCCGACGGTCCGTCGGCAAACCAAAGTGCACCGGCTTCACATGAACTTCGAATGCAAAATGTCATCTTCAAGCCCCGCCCTCCTTCCGGCCAAGTGCCAGCCGGCGCTACTGTTCCACGGCCGACAAAACAAACGGTGACCGAACAATCGCGCGGCCATAAATTCCTCGGCCGTGAGCGGAGGCGGGTGGGAATGCGCGCCGCGCCGCGCGTACCTTGGCTGGCGGGACTCGGAGCGCCACACAATGGCTTCCCTTTGATGGCGGCACAATCGCACTTTTGAGCGCGAGGACTTTTTCCGCATTCCTCCAGTCCCATTTTATCCCCCCACGCTCATGTGAGTTACGACATCTGCTCGTGACAAGACGGGAAGAGAAGGCTTTCAATTCACGCCAATTGCAAAAAGAAGGGGGGCAGGGGGGGGGGGAGAGCAAGAACTGACAACACTGAGGACTCGACGACTCTTTTTGACGGTGGACTAAATCCGATCCAGCTTGAATCGCGCCAATATAAGTCTCCGAGTTCCCAGCAGTGATTTTTATCCGCACGACATTTCTCACACAACAATGAAGCGAATCTCCTGCAAAAGAGTTTGTTTGCTTGCCAGACGCCGAAATGAACCCACGTGTCCGGAAACGCGTGTCCGTCCGTCCGCTTTTCCCAAAACGCTGCTCCTTGACTTTGGCTTGACCAACATCGTGCCCGTTTGCGCCGAACACGCCGCGCGGTTGTCAGAGTGGTAAAATCCAGAAGGGGCACTTGCGTTTGGAGCCTTTGTGGAAGGCTTTCCTGCGGCTTCCTCCTCCGAGCGCTTTTGTTCACGAAGTCCTCGCTCGCGTCTGCGCAGCTGGCCGGCATGGAGTCGGGCTTCGCCTGCTTCTGCGGCAACGAGGCGGACCTGGCGCAGCGCGGCCGGGCCCCCGGCACCGACTGCAACCACGTTTGTTTCGGCGACCACAGGCAGCCGTGCGGCGGAGACGGCTGGCTCATCGTCTTTGACAGTGAGTCGAGTCGCGCTCGACGGGGGAAGAGGCAAACGTGAGGAAGATAGTTGGATGGTTGACCCCGTTGTTGTCCGCCTCCTCTTTTTTTTTTTTTTTTTTGTCAATCCGCTTGAGAAAACAGATCTTTTAGGTGCTCGTAACAAAGAATGCTCGTCGACACCGGCGTGAAATGAATGCTCTTTGCAAGAGCGAAGCTCGGGTAGGTTCCTGCGGCGGCAATTACTCGTCGCCCTCCGGGGTCATCTACTCGCCGGACTTTCCGGACAAATACGGCGCCGGCCGCGCGTGCTACTGGACGGTGCAGGTGGCGGGCGCGTCCGCCATCCTCTTCAACTTCACCCTCTTCGACATCACGGATCAGGCGGACATGGTGGAGCTGCTGAACGGCTACACCAAGGAGGTGGTGGCGCGCTTCGACCGGCGCGCCCCGCCCCGCCGGCCGCTCAACGTCACCGGAGACTTTGTCATCCTCTATTTCTACTCGGACGGCAGCAACCAGGCGCAGGGCTTTGTGCTGCTCTACCAAGGTAGGAGTTGACCTTCGCTCCCAAAACGCATTTGTTCCTCCGCGCGCGGGTAGCTTTGGATGATCCGTTTTGCGGCCGGCCGCCTTTCTCCGCAGCGCTGAGAAGCCGCCGCGACGGGGAGAGCGCCGAGGACGAGGGCCGGGGCCTCTCCGGCACGGCGCGACCCCGGGCGCCCCCCGGCGTCACCAACGGGACGGCCGAAGGCCGAGCGTCCTCGTCCTCGCAGATCCTCTACGTGATCACGTCCAGCCCCGGCCAACCGCGGCGCAGCGTGCCAGGTCAGTGGGCTGGACCCGGACGGACCAGTGGACGCGGCGCCAGTATGTCCAGCTCCCGCCCTCCTCCTCTCGCTTTCTTCACCTTGGTGCGCCTCTGCACACTCCAAATGCTCTCTTTGCCGTTCCGTACGCGATGCCGTGCGACGCTTCCGGCCGTCCTCTCGGACGCCTCGCAAAACACCCGCAAGTTCCGCCGCGACTCGGAAGGCTCTTTGATGTTGACCAACACACCCAACCGTCGTGGTCCGTCAGCCGCAAAATCATCTGGAATAACGTCGACAAACAGCACACGTAGACTTTTACGTTGGCGAAACGCACATATTGGGGTCCTCCGAGACAAAATGGCCTTTGCTCATGCAACCGTGCCGATGGCAAAGGCTCCAAACGGCCTTTGATGTTGACCAAAAACATGCAGATGAGGGCCACCCAAGACAAAATCACCGTTGGTGTTGACGAGTCCCACAATTGGGAAATTGGTAACAACAAAATGCTTGATTTTTACATCTAGAAATCAACAAAAACAACCCAGCACATGAAAACAGGGTGAGCTTTTTTGAAGACAAAATACTTTTTGATCTTTACGAAACGTACGTTAGGCGAATTGACGTCAACGTCGTTCACGATGTCAATTGGCTGCCTTGGATGCTTCCAACAATCAGCTTTGGGTTGTCAAAAGCGAAATTGGGTCTCAATTCTCTTTGACGGTTACAAAACACTGACGGCTGTTTTGCCAAGACGCTCCGTTTTGGCGCTCTGGTTGGCGTGGCCGCCTCCAAAGATGTCAAACGGGTTCTCGTCACCGACAACACGGCCGCGCTATGCAAGGCGTGTCGGTAGCGGGCAAAGAAATGACATTTTTTCCAGGTTGTTTGCTTTCAGACTCCTGGAACTAAACTCAAGTGGGGATTTTTGCAACTGCCTTATTTTTTTCTGCATCATTAGATTGCGTGACATTTGATTGAAGCGATCGCAGACACCAGTCGGGCGGGGGTGACGAACGCGACCATTCCAACAGATGCGCACGGAGAACGCTTCAACATTTCTTGACGCTTTGCTCGCTCGGCGTTTGCCAGCAGGTGTTTCCTCGCATGCTCGTCCTTGCGGCCCGCTGCCCTTTTTTTGTGGGGGAGTCGGGGGGAGGGGGCGGTGTCCTGGCCAGGCGACCCCACTGACGCCGGTTTACCGTGTCACCCCGGCCGGCCCTCCTTGTTTTGTCTTTTGGCAGTGTGGACCGTCTACGCCCTGGCCGGCCTCCTCATCCTCACCGTGGTCGCCCTGCTGGCCAAGCTGCTGCTGCACATCACGCTCAAGTAGGTTTTGTCACAATTTTGGGGAGGAATGGAGGAATTTTCTTGTTGTTTTCTTTTACCGACGATGAGTGACCTGATGTGAAGTCACGATTTTTTCCAAATGGATGCTCGACGCCGTTTCATGCCACTCCTGGTTGACGTTTGCTGTCAAAGTAAACATCAAACAAAGACAAGTACACATCGAGTGTCGCCTTGCGGTCACTGGCTTCGTGCTCACACATCATTGTAATGGTCACATTAAAAAGCGAAAATGATCCCATAAATCGTCACATTCAAAAGTGGACCGTGGCACGTTCAAACCTTCTCCCGTTTTGTAGTTGGACTTCAGTTCAGCTCACTTGCGTTTGAGTCTATTTGGGTTTTTTTGTTTTTTTTTTTTTAATTAAAATAAATCAACGATGTTGCGTGTCAGATAACCGAAGAATTGATTGAACGCACGCTACCTCCAAGGTTAGGATTTGAGACTTGAGAAACCTCGGTCACATTTCCCTCGTATGACATCCCCAGGTCTCCCCGAATCCCCGCAGCCGGCGGCTCGGACAGCTGCGGCCAAAGCGTCTCGACGTCATCAGAGCCGTGGATCATCCTGTACCGGCCTTCCACCATCTCCCTCTTCAAGAAGAAGCTCAAGAACCACCACCACCACCACCACCACGGCGACCTCAGCCCCCTGGTGGGCAACTAGCACAACCCGTCGAGCGCTTCCTTCGAACTCCTTGCATAGCAAGGCGCTAAGCTAACTCGCGGCTCATGCGGGTACGGCGCCCTCCGGCCGGGACGGATGCCGACTTCCCCTCGGCGAAGCTTCTCCGTCAGGGCGCTGCCGCTTCTTCAGAACTTGGGCATCAAATGCAAAAGTTTTCAGGGCGACCGCTCGCCCTCGGAGGGGAGGGGATGGGCTGCTCGCGAGCAAAAGCCGACGCGTCGCGTGGCGTTCAAGTGCCTGACGGCAGAACCGCCCCCCCCCCCCCCACTAACACGCCTCATAACGGGACGGGGATTTATTTTTGTAAGGCTTTGTAGATAGTCGGGACGAGGCATTTCATGACCAGCTCATTTATCTTCTTTGTCTTTCCTGAACATATTGTTCACCTTAACTTTGAAACGTGGGCGGGGTGGGGAAACGTGGCGTCCGATGGACTTGTGCATGCTCTTTTGTCATATTGACGCCAGAGGGACAAAGGTTGACAATGAATGGCTATCCAAGGAAAATCGCCGACGATTAACATCGATTAGAATGTGAGCGTGGAGACATTGACGCAGTATGTTTCGTAAACCACATGGGCGTGGTCGCGCAGCCCCAAAGCAAGTACAGCACTCAAACTTCAATGCCTGGCCTCCGATAAGCACGCTCAACCGGATGCTTCGTCACACACACACACACAAGAAACAAAAATCCACAGGAATGGAAGCAAACGCGATTGCCATCTTCATTGTCCCGATCCTTTTGGCCACTCTTTTTCACATCATCAGAGCAATAGCGAAAAGTACTTTGAAGGAGACGCGCTGCACATATTTTTCGGGGGCCGGGACGCACATATCGGGATTTCGCAAGCAAACCTGGAAAACGGGCGAGCCGTGACGGCGGCGGTGCGAGCCCGAGGGAGGGCGCTTTGAGGCCGATTGCGGTCGACGGCAGAGGGCGGTCTGGCACAAAATTGAAAATGGATGAAAATGATTTGGCTTCAGCCGCTTACTTCTTCATCCGCAAATACAATCGGGATCAGAGTCGTATGCTTCGACTCATGGGGGGGGGGGGCGCGTGCGGCGCCGTATATGAGGGCGTGCCATCGTACACGTCGCCAAAGCTTCGATCATCTCAAGGGGATGAAAATGATACACGGTCCGATTCATCTTTGCGTGCAGAGAACTGGTCAATGACACAAAAAAAATGGACTCGGGGCAAAAAGCAGCACCAAAGACCAACTCCACAAGTTGTCTTCTACCAAACCATCAATCAAAACAGAATGCAAATGATTTGCAAATCATGTTGCACCTATGCAAATGATTTGTGGTGAATGTGCCACTGGCAGAACCACCATCGGCATCATTTTCATCATCTTGCTCATCAAACAAATATGTACATAGCAGAAATAGTGAGATCTATAATTTATACGGTAAATTATTGTTTATTGTCCATGTGAACGGGTACAATTTTTTGTATTAATAAAAAAAAAACAAATACAACAGAGAAAAAAATGGTAGTAGCTGCGTTGTTTTATTTCACGTGTCCTGGTTGCAAAAACAATCTGCATGTTCCTGAAGGGCTGTTTGCTTCCCCCGCCACCATTTATCTCTTTTTGTTTCTGGGAAAATCGGAAACATTTTGCGACAAATTCAGCGTGACGTGTTTTTTTTGGGGGGGAGGGTGGGGGTTGCGGTAGGGTGACACTCAAATGCTTCTCAGATGTGGCAAATGGCTCACAGATCCACACGCACAAACACACATGGAGGTCGGACACCCGCGCCTCGCTCCCACTGTCATCATTATCTTTGGACCAGATCAAGCAGAGGACAAAGCACTTTTTTATTCCTCGGGAGGGGCTTATTTCCGCATTTGTGAATCCAACGCCAACGAGCCGCGGGAGTCTATTTAAAACACACGTGCAACACAACAAACCATGACTTCTTCGGATCAGCCAAAACGCGGAATTATCATACAAAAGGATGATAAAGTAGATCAATATTTTTATTCTGTTAAATTTGTTCTCACGTCAAGTTGGATTCTCTCAAAATACTTTCTCTAAACTTTTTATTTGTATTATACTCTGGCGCCCTCTCTCGGGACTTTTGGGTTACTGTTGTTTTGGATTTGATTATTTTTATACAGCAGATGCGACTGGAATAGTCTCTTGTTGATGACGCCACAGCGACGCACACTTAAGTCGCATCGGTCAAGATGGCGGCCTCCGTTCGTCCGCTGCTGGAGCGGATGATTTTTCGTCGATCTTCCAGGGCAGTTTTCGTCTCCGCAGCGGACGGCTGGCGCCCGTCGCCCCGCTGCTACGCGACGCCGTCCTGCCGAAGTTTTAGCGGTGGAGCCGCGGAGAAAAGCACCCATTTCGGTTTCGAAACTGTCCCGGAATCCGAGAAGGCGAAGAAAGGTGAGTCGACGGCCAACTTCGTGGTGAACACAGTCGAGTTGAGTTGATCAAACTAAACAATTTGTCATGGCGGAGTCAATCGAACGCCTAGGTGGCCTGATAGCTAGAATATCGAAGCGCTTCTTTGAATACGAAGGTGGTAAATGGAAGTCGTCTTCCAAAGGAGACAGTCGAACCTCATGACAACGTAGCCGTCAACTCCGATATGGAATGCAGTCTAAACACTTAGAGATGTCAAAACACGAACACGGCAGTACAGCCGGGTACGAGTCGGTCGGCGAGCGTTGCCGCGCAACGGAGGGGAATCCCGCGCTGTACATTTTGGTCACAAACGTTGAAAGGTTGGGAGGTTCGACTGTACCCGGACCGCGTTTTCTCGCGAGAAATCATGAGCTAATATGGCAGCCGCGTCGCCCGGGTCAATGCTTGCTCATTCGTTTGCACTCAAGCGGCCCGCTTTTTTTGAGGCGTGATGACATCAGGTGCACGTTTGCTAATGACTGTTATTACTCTAATTTTGAATTCGTGCTTTTCCAATGGAGCGTGGCAGAACAAAGGATGACTTTGGCCACACGTCTCTGTGCGGAAGGAACATTTGTGACATCTCGGCCATCTTGTCCGCGCCGCAGTGTACGCCGTGTTTGAGAACGTGGCGCACAAGTACGACGTGATGAACGACGCCATGAGTCTGGGCATCCATCGTCTGTGGAAAGACGCGCTGCTGCGTGCCGCGCACCCCCAGCCCGGGGCGCGCCTCCTGGACGTGGCCGGCGGAACAGGTGCGCATCACAAAAAGACGACAACATCCCGTTCCGAATGATGGGCGCGCTCGGCGGCTCGAGCGACGGAGCGCACGTCACCGCGTCGGATTTGGGCGGTGATTGTTTGACGCGCCACGAGAGGGCGCCTGCGTGCCACTTGGATTTGACGAGCAACCGCGGTCGGCCCTCCTCCAACATGGCCGATTCATTCATGGGGGTTGATAATTATTTATTTATTTGTGTTGGCGACATCCTGAAATCAGGCCGAAGTGATGACCCCCTCCCCTCCACCCTCAAATTTTGTGTGTGTGTGAGAAAAGTCATCAGGCAGGCGTGGCTCATCTTGTGTCGCCTCGTCTCAGGCGACATCGCCTTCCGTTTCCTGGAATACGTCGGCTCCCAGAAAAGGCGGCGGGATGGGCGCTCTGCGTCGTGGCAGGACATCTGCGAGAAGGACCCGGGCAACCGGGAGGAGGGCGAGGAAGGCGCGGCCCGGGACTCCAGGGTGGTGGTCTGCGACATCAACAAGGAGATGCTGAAAGTGGGCAGACGGAAGGCCCGGCGCACGGGCCTCGCCGACGGTGAGGACGTCATATTCAAATATGGAGCGCGCCCTCGGCGGCGGAAGTGACAGACGGCGAAGACGCTTTCTTCGTCAGGGTGCGCTCCATTTGCTTGGCTGCGCATCCCGGCTGGGACGGGTGCCCGCGTCCGCTTTGGTCTTTGTGGGCGCGGGTGTTTGTCATTTTGTTTTTGTGTGCCTCCTGGATTGTTTTTTTGGATGTCACTTCTCTTTTAGTGTCTGTTGTTTTTTTCTTTTGAATATGTGTCTGTTATGATTTTATGTTTTTCTACGTGCATCTCTTTTTTGTGTGTGTGTTCAGGTGTGTTGTGGGTGGCGGGGGACGCGGAGGAGCTGCCGTTTGACGACGCTCAGTTTGACATTTACACCATCGCGTTTGGCCTTCGCAACGTCACGCACGTGGAGCTGGTAAGCGCTTCCATCGTGTTGTTTTGGGGGAGGGAGGGGGGTATTTATGTGACGCTCTTGGAATGTTGCGAACTCCCATTCACGGTGCAAAAGTCGTCGCTTGGATGCGGTCAAATGATGTTGACCCCATTGGCGCGAATGACTGGCGTCTTTCTTCAGGCCCTGCGCGAGGCCTTGCGGGTCCTGAAGCCCGGGGGCCGGTTCATGTGCTTGGAGTTCAGCAAGGTGACCCATCCCGTCTTGGCCAGGTGAGCCGCAAAGTCGCGCCGTGCCGTCGCCACTCGACCGAGATGTTCACAATCTGCTTTCTCTTTTTCTTTGGGAGGCTTTACGACGCTTACAGCTTCCAGGTGATCCCGGTTTTGGGAGAGGTCATCGCCGGGGACTGGAAATCTTACCGCTATTTGGTGGAAAGCATCCGCAAGTTTCCCGCTCAGGTAGCGACAAAAACACCTCGGCTGTCACTGTTCGATCGTTCCGTTCGCAGTGGACATTTTTTACTCCAGAAACAGGAAAAAAAAGTTGTTTTTTTTTTTCCCTGGGAAAATGTTCACTTGTTTTTCCAGAGCATTTCGTGTCAAGCTTTTTTTTTTTTTTTTTTTTTTTTGCCCATGGCATTCTCAAAAATACGATTCTTTTTTTCCCCTGTCCTCTTCTGGTCACTCCACTTTTTGTCTTGAAATTTCCTCTCAAATGCGTCACTTTCCCACGTTGGAAACGATCCAACCTTTTCCCTTAATTCACGTTTCTCTCGAAAAATGTTAACATTTGTTTTGTGGTAATCCGCCTCGATTCTTGCGCAAGTGTGCCCCGAACAATGTTTTTGTTGGCCGTTTGTTTGGTGCGCAGGAGGAGTTGAAGGAGCTGCTGGAGGATGCGGGCTTTTGCTGCGTCGGCTACCGCAACTTGAGCGGCGGCGTGGTCTCCCTTCACTCGGGTTTCAAGCTGTGACGGCCACGAGGGCTCGCGTCTGCGCGACGCCGTCTTGCGCGCTACTGCCCGACGACCGCGAACGCCGTGCGCTCGGGGAAAGGACAACCTCGTCGTCCCCGGATGATCCCCGGGGGCTCGGGTGACCCCTGACCGGGGGGCCCGGATCGGCAGTGTGAGGAGGATGCTGCTATTTTTTTTTTTGTTGTCATCCATTCTCATCTGTTGTCCTTCTCCATAATCACATTTTGGTCATGAAACCCAAACCCCCCGCCCCCCAAAAAAAACAAAACAAAAAAAACCTAAAATAATTCCCTCCCTCCCCCCAAAATGTGTTTCACTGCCAAATATGTTTTTCCAGAGTATTTGGACTTCCTCCCAAACCCGATTGGATTGAATGAGCAGCAGGCAAAGAGAAAGACGGGACACGTTGGGTTCTTCTTTGAAATTCGAGTGTATTATTTGACATGTCTCTAATTACAAAAAAGGAGCGTACGGTACGTGACCAAATGGGTTTGTTTGTTTGTTTTTTGGTCAGAAGGTTGAACGATCTCGCTCGCCTGGTGTGCAATTCATTGCGTCTGTACAAAGGGCTCAAGCGCTTTCTCCGCCATCAACTCCGAACAGAAGCCGCGGCTTCCAGATAAATATATTAGTCAATAAATATTCCGAGAACATCTTTCCAATCCTGAAATGTCTTCTGCTCTCCGACGTACACAAAGCGACACCGCCGAGGCCTTCTTGGGAAAACGTGCGGAAATTCAACTCGCTCGTCTTTCTGAATGAATGAAAATGTGAAAACGAGCCATTCTTTTGCGCTGCACATTTCCATCCTCCATCTTAAGTGCTACAAACACCACCCAAAAAAAAAAAAAAAAAAAAAAAAAAAAACAAAAACACATGTAAAATAGTGTGTGTGTGTGTGTGTGTGTGTGTGTGTGTGTGTGTGTGTGCGTGCGTGCGTGCGTGCGTGCGTGCGTGCGTGCGTGCGTGCGTGTGTGCCCCCCCCCCCCTTTGTTTTTCAATATTGTGCTCAATCCAACGTGAGGGTTCGATTCCTGACTGCGACTTTTTGGGCGTTTGTTTTGTGTTGTTTTCGAAAAGGACATAAATAAATACCCCCCCCCTCATGTTTTTTTCTCAAAGAAATATTTTGGGCAAAAATTAAAAAATATATTTTGGGGGGGGGAGGGGGGCGGGGTGAATGCCAAAAGAAATGTTATGCACTGGTAGGAACTCAAATGGGAGCGATTGTTTGCTCTCCTGCACGATTTCCTTGCACTGAAGCCCCCGACAAATGTCACCTTGCCTCCTTGTGAACCAAACGCAAGAAAACGGCCCGTTGACGTTGCGCTCGCTTGTCTTCCTCGTGAGGACACGCGAATCGGCGCACATTCGACACCGCGCAAGCACGTCCGGCTCGTTTCGGTATCGCTACGCCCGTACAAACGACGTCGAGGCTCCGAAGGCGGCGTGACAGGCAGCCAGAGAGGCGTCGCGGCCCACGGGAACCAACGGGAGCGCGTTTTCGGTCAAAAGCCCCGCGTTGCCGCGCCACGACGTTCGGCAGAATTCGCGCTTTCGCCGGACACCCGCCGCTTTGTCGACGCGAGCACATTCAGCAGAAAGCAAGGCCACGGAAGGTTTCCAAGCGACCGCCGCCGTTGCCAACTTCATACGGCCGGACCCCTCTCAGTACTTGGGCCCAAAGTGTTTTCTGAGTGGCGAGACGGAAACAAAGGCCTGGTCTCCTCGGTCCGGGGGCACGGGCGACCTCGGGCGAGGACGTCGCCGGCGGCCGAGCCGACGGAGTCGGGCAAAAGGCTGCTTTCGCAGTCGCCGTCCTCGGGGATGATGGCTATTCGCTGGTTGCGCTCGCGGCAGGCCGGTGCCGGGCGGGCCTCCGCGTCGGCGTACTGCACATTGACGGCGTAGTCCTCGGCGTAGCGGGGCCCCCCGTGGACCTTCAGCTCCTGGTAGAAACAGCAAGGTCGCCCTTCGTAGGGCTCCGGGGAAGGGCCCCGGGCGCGGCGTGCGGACCCCCGCGCCTCCGACTCGGCGTTGCGGGGAAGCGCCCGCGAGCGGCAGGCGCAGGCGGCTCCCGGCGCCGCCC